ACGCTTGGCGTGTGGGTTGGCAACCGCAATTAGGCTATGGTGATGTTTTAAGAAGGACGCTGCTGCCCATCCCTTGACAATTAAGTTCCCTTAGTCACCTCTTACGACACTCACTGGAAAGGGAAAGTTGGCACATTCTATGCCGCGACTACATGGTTTCATACCTAAAATTAAGGATAGTTCAAAATAAATTTAAATAAGTCTTTATAGCATACATAGTACGTAGATTTTTTCTTCAGTACTGTATTCTGTAAAGAGAACAATACAGAAGAAGCGGGGGGAAAGGGATTGTTAGTAATGGAGACTGAGAATCCCATTGCTGGCAATATACCCAACCAGGTCGACCTCCTCGCGGTTCTCCCTGAAAACTATCATAGTTAATTCATGATGAATTCATCATGATGGGCTAACTGGCCTGTTTTCATTCTCATCTATCATCTTTCACTGGTTCTCTGCCAGCGTATTCCGTTAGCGCAGGCGGGGTTACCATACCATTTTCACCCATCAAAAAAAAATACAGAAGAAGAAAAAAGGTTAAGAAAGATAATATTTAGGTATCTAATTGCAGAACAAAAGGCGGCCATATTGCTAGTTTGTTCCAGATAACCTTTGTGTGGAGGTTAGTAGATAAAGCACAGTGTATAGGTGCCCTGGAGAGAGAGCGAGATAGAAATAACTATAACAAAAATGTTTTATCCTTATAAATATTATTTTCACTATAAATTGTTACTAACTAATTCAAATTACTAAATGAAAATGCTTATTACCAACTCAGTCTAGTATATTTTTGTTGCTCTCTCTTTCTCCAACAAATGGGTGCTACTAAAAATGTGTGTTATATTAGAAAGAATATATTATACACTATTTTAGCGCGTTTTCTTTTTGTTTATTGTAAATTTTTTTGTTATAATTATGTGTGAAATTAAGCACTAAAAATATTTTTCTTTCTTATAATTTGGTTTTATTTAATAAAATAAATTTCTGTTCTTGTTCTGTTGTTAATGTGAAAAATAGTTTGTTTGTTTGTGCCCTGTTAGTGCATTCAAGCTTGACCGATTGTCTGACATTTAATATACACACAGTACATTAAAAATTTGTGTATATATATATATATATATATATATATATATATATATATATATATATATATATATATATATTCTGAAATATATACATATATATATATATATATATATAGTACATGTGATTTACAATATGGTATATAGTTAGGTTTTCTAAACTCTTTCATCATCACCATAAATCCTTTTATAAGATAATAGTCGTACCAAACGTGATGGTTCGCATTGATCCTCCCAGAAGGATGTCGTTGAGCAATTTATTCGTCTCGTCTGAAGCTGGGACCTTAATGTGTTACTATGTAATCATAACTATTAGGGCATAGTAACGAACACACCTTATAGTCACGGTACAGAATAGGCCGTCTCGTCCTTTCCCGAGAGCGTTGTAAGAGAGAACAAAGGATAAAATACCATCTCTCTTAAAATACCATCAAAACCTAATTGCGGTTGCCAGCCCGTCTACCAAGCGTGAAAAAAAATTTGACTCAACGATAATAGTTTGATAACTTCTCGGATTTTTTTTTAATTTTATTTTAGTCTTAGCAATTGAACTGTGGGACTGTTTAATTGACATCGAATAAAAGGTATCGCTCAATAATATCCTTACAATTCCTGAAAACTAGGTTTATCGTCAACATCATATCAGCTTTTAACTGTCCACTGCTGAACATAAGCCCCTCCCTAGGGAGAATTTTGCCAGTAGTTGCCACGCTTGTCAGGCGGATTGGCAATAGCAGTTAGGCTTTGAAGGTGTTTTAAGATGGATGCTGCTGCCCATCCCTTGTCCTCTCTTAGTCTCTTACGATACACACGGTAAAGAAAAGGGTGGCCTATTCTATGCCGGGACCACACGGGAAACTAGGTCACTTGGTTTCAATCTCCTAAGATTTAGAAGAAGGGGAGAAGAGATTGTTAGTAATGGATTGTTAATAAAATTCTAGCAGTGACTAAAGTTCAGGGGGAAGGGGGAGAGATGGAGTCTAATAACCCTATTGCTAGCAATATACCATATCAGGTCAACCTGCACTTAGTTTCCCCTGGAAATCATTGCGGTTCATTCTTATTGACTTCATCATGATGGGTTAACTGATCTGCTTTCGTATTCACTTATCATCTCTCAGCGGCCTGCCAGCGTATACCCATAGCACAGGCGGGATTACCATGTAATTTATACCCATTAATATTTAAAAATTTTGTCCCAAAAAAACAATCTACTTTAATTGTGGCTAAATCAGTAATTTTGATTTAAAACTACTGAATTGTTTTGATAAAGTTTCTATGAGACCTATCTGTAAGCATATCTTTTCAAATAAAAACGAATTTCCCTAATCGATTTAAAATTGACAATAAAAAAAACAAACATAAAAAAACAACCGAATTGAGAATCTTCTTCTTTTTGAGGTCGTACAAAAGGAACGTAATTGTAATTCATAAGAAACAAACTTACTTTATTGCTTCCCACGTAATCTGCTTTTAAAGCTTGAAAATCTTGAAGCGTATCAGGTACTGTTACTGATTTCTGTCCAAATGATCTGTATTCTATTACATCATCGCCTTCAATAGACACATGTTTAACATTGTTCAATTTAGTTTCATTATCATTCTCTTCTTCTGGTTCTGCAAATCTGACTTCAGGTGTTGGAGATCGTGGGTAAGGAGAGCCAACTTTAAAAGTCGGTCTAGAAAGTGCATCGTCCTCATCAATATACTGTATGTCGTTTGGAGTACGATTCGCTTCTAAGATCAGTCTCCTCGTCTCGGGTGGCATTGCTACATAGTCTTGTGGGTATGACGGTATATTTACACGGAGATCTGGTTTCTTTCGAACCCTCATCTTGGATTACGATCATACAATTTTATGTACTTCTGATGGTTTTGAAAGTTTGTTTTTAAATCGTCAATGGTATTTATTAATAATAAATTATACTCAAATCGTTGAGAATACAGTAAAACAAGGTATTTACTATACTTTCATAAAAAAGTACACCAAATATACACTTCACTGGATTATTTATTTATCACAGTCACGTGTTATTTGCTAAAGAACTAAATCCTCAAATATTGGTTGGAGCCACTGTTTGGGAAAGTGCGCGATAAGGAATCATCTCACTGAAATTGAAATAAGAACTATCCCATTTTTATATTTGATCTTGTAAAAGCATGAAACCTAATTTAAGATTCCTAATTGCATAAACTGTTAAGTAATATAAATATATATAAATATATAATTTCGCGTTCGCTTCAAAAGTAATTATATCATGACTGAAAACGTTTTCGGGGACATTATCAAACATGATCACATCGTTTGTTTTGATAAAAAGTCATGTGACGTATTGATAGCGTAGTCTTTCCTTTGTCTTATCAATTTCGTGCAAGATATGAACCGCCCAGTTTCATTTAGCAAAGATTATCTAATAGGTAGGTACTGCTTAAGAGCAATACAAGCTGTTATTAAATAGGCTAAGGTTAATACTTGTAGATACAGAGATTACTGATATATCTACATCAACATAGATGAAGATATTATAAAGATACTCTTAATAGTATAGCCTTCATGCACTACATTCCAAAATATTATCTAAAACATGTTGATAAAATGGAAATTTGCTCATCCATAATTTGTGAAAATTCGTTAACATGATGGGAATTTTTAGTTTTAAACTCCTTTGAAATAATTTCATCAAATGCAAGTGGGACTCATACATTAGAGTTACAGTAGTACATAAAATAATCCATAAATATTTTTTCTTGTTCGAAGATTTCTAATTGAACTGTCAAATCTTAAAAATCATTCAACTAAATTTTTAATGTAAGTAGTATATTAATTTATTTTAACATTTATTATAATAAGTGGGTAGATATTATATGTATTTATAGTGTATGTATTTATGTAATATTTTATTATATATTTTATTTAACTGTATATTTGTTTATATATTATATTAATAGTTGTAGCACTTTAGCTGCCCACTAACGAAATGCTTTCTCACTGTACTGGGTTGACTGGAAGAGATCTCTGTCAGAGATAAGTCCACCCTTGCTCACAACATTTATAAATATATTATTTTATATGTAACTTACAAGTGCAATAATGAATATATATAATATCTATTCAAATATCTAGCTCTAATGTAGTGAAAAAGACATTTTGTACCACAAAAATAGCAAACATGCATACAGCCATCTTATGGTCACTATAGTCTACAGACACCTGAAACACTAGGTGCGTCATGTGCACGTTGCAGATATTTACTGTTTCATTCTTTTCTGATAATTAATTCAGTATATATGTACCTGACCGCAGGCCATATAAGCACAGACGAATACATGAATTGAAAAAAACAATTATTTTTACATTTTGAACTACCTCAACTTTCAATTATAAAAAATAAAATCTAGTCTTTTAATAGTTTCCTTTTCCTTGATTTTATCTATTTTGTTCTAAGTCAACAATATAGGTATAACAAATAAAGAATATAAGTTACTGGTTAGACTCTTCTTTGTATGAATAAAATATGCTCACGACTACAATAATAATTAGAGACATTTGTCGATTGCAAATATACAATCTTAAATTACATAGATAGTCTCCATACAAATGCTTCGAGAAAAGCGGGTCAACTTTTCATACAATATTGCTTGATAAATAGTTAGAAGTGATTCCTTTATAACTTCTAGGTATATTTACTTTGTCTTATAAATTCTGCACCTTTTTAATGCTTTAAAACTCATTTATTTATTAATAATTACATATAAATACGTCAAGATATATTATTTGCATAAATATATAGAATATTAATAAAAAAAACTAGTCAACTAATTTGACAGTTAGCTGACAAAAAGTTGACCCGTTTTTGAGGCTCGATGTTCTATCTATATAATCTAAGTATATATATTATGTAAAAAGAAAGCATTACATACCTCGTCTTGTGGATTATTCAAGTACGCTTGACGGAGAACCTCAGATTCAAGATTCTGGAGCGTTGGCATCGACACTGAGTTTCGTCTTAAATTCATTTTCCTAATCTCTGCATTTTCTCTCTCATTATCAATCAAATCATCCGACTCTACAGTGCCAAAGGCTTTAGACGTACTTGGAGATGCGTCTGATAACTCAGTCGATTGAGTGCTTGGACTATTGGGCTTAGTTGATTTAGGAGAATAAGGATCTAACGTCACGTAAAGAGTTCCCTCTGGAGTGTTGACAACAATAGTATCACTATTCGGCGACGAATGGACAGATCCTAAATCGGAAGCGTGTATCACAATATCGCCATTAGGTTTTGGTTTGTGTACCGCTTCTCCTTTCTCAATATCTCTGTATCGTTTCGGTCGGATAGGTTCGTCTTTTCTACCACGAATTTCTGGCACTTCATCCACAAATGGTATATCTTCATTCTTTGTTTCAGGCGTATGTAGTTTTTTGTCGTCATCCTTACTATCATATGTTCTAACGTGATTATGTTCTACAGCTTCATCCACAAATGGTATGTTATCATTCATTCGTATTTCAGGCGAGTTGAGTCCTTTGGCCACATAGTTGTTGGTTTGTTTACTGCCGCCATCCATAATAGTTTATTCAGCTACCTGCAAATGAGAAATACAACATGTTCACACTACTGTTTACGTCTTACTAAATAACAAGTGATTGCTCCTTTTTCGATGTCGACATTTTGCATACTATTATGACAGTATGGTCTTGGTTATTAGTACTTCCCATATTTGATTCTGAGTGATTCACTGGCAGAGACGATGTGGCATTGTACTCTGATTGTAGTAGTGATCGTAACTTCTTGGATAAGTAGTTCTCTTAGAGACTTAATCGATTTGATTCAATCATATTTGATACAAGGCACAGTTTTTTTCTTTTACTAGGGCAAGAAACATTAGAGAAACTAATATATCTCCAATGTTATGTATGTGTTATTATGTATACTATTATTATATTTTATAACTTTAAATGTATTATTGAAATTTGCTAAATAACTTAAATAAATTTGATATGTAGTAATGCTCTGATTTTGTATTTTGGTATAAACGTAATAAATATTAACTATTATGTATTTTTTTTAATTATTGATCGTTTATATTTTTAATGCGATAAGTAGTTTATTTAATTATGCATGCACAATTTTACCTTTATTATATCTATCCATATATGTAGAATATAAAACAATTATATATATATATATATATATATATATATATATTGTACAAATGTATTTTGTCGATTGCTTGGGTACCTCTGTCCCATTCGTGTTTCAACCGTGAAGCAGTTGTGTTTGCATGGCTGTGTTTCGGTTTGAAGGGTGGGATATGGCGTGAATTTACTGGGTACAAAGGAATAACACCTGAGTCCTCAGGAATGGCAACGCATGGGAGGTATCATGGGCGCAACAGTATACTCTGTTATGTCCATGGTACTGCTCATGTCTATAGGCGACGGTTACCACTTTCCATCAGGTGGGCCGTCAGCTTGTTTGCCATTCTAAGTTGTATAAAAAAAAATGTATTTATTGTGTGTATATATTTATTTATTTTATATATATAAGGTGTATGTTTATATTATATAAATTTATCAAGTATTGCTTTATTTTTCCTCTATCCAAAAATGCACCGCCTACGTATTTCTCGGTTTGTCCAATGGTTGACTGGTAGAGAACACCGTCCGGTGTTAAGTCCGCCATATGTACCTACATAGAATTTTACTGTGCATTAAAGTTTAAATAAATAAAAATAAATATATATGTTAATATACAGACCTATCTGTTCTACACTTGATACTTTTAATCATAAAATAATTCACAATTAATATCCACGCGAATAAAGTAGCGCACATGATTATAAAGTTTTTAATTACACAAGATAATTTTTTTTTTTAGTAAATGTATTTAACAACAACAAAGTTAACTTCTTTATAACAATTACAGTAAACAAGCGATTAATTCACCGTCAAAGTGTTGTTACAACTGGATAAGTTCTGATCGTGTCACGATAAATTTTATTATATCTACGTAAGCAACCAGAATACAATACGCAATAAATCGCCACACGTAATGTTTAAATTGTTGTGATAGTCTACTACGTTGACGAGAAGTATGTATTTAATTCTTATTCTATACAAGCTGTTTCGTGGTGGGTTTTACCAGTAGTTGCCAAGCTTAGCAGGTGGGTTGGCAACTGCAGTTAGGCTTTCATCGTCATCATCATCATACCAGCCTTTAACTGTCCACTGCTGAACATAGGCCTCCCCCTTGGAGGTTTGCCAGTAGTTGCCATGCTTGGTAGGTAGTTTGGCAACGCAGTCGGGCTTTATAGATGTTTTAGAGGGATGTTGCTGCTGCTATCCCTCGTCCTCCCTTAGTTGACTCTTACAACACCCACGGGAAAGGCCGGAATAGACCACCCCTTCGGTCTATGGTATATCGGGACCACACGGCGAAAACTTAATTCGTTATAATTTAAATATATATATTATATCAATAGGATTGTTTTATATTATTATGTTGGTTTTCTAATTTTAAGTTTATTTATTTATTTAACTCTTTATTGCACTATAAACAAAAATATACAATGACAAGTGAATAATTCAAGTGAAATACAGTGACGTAAATACAGATTGAAATATACACATATAAAGGTACAAAAGGCGGTCTTATCGCTAGGGCAATCTCTTACAGACAACCTTTTGTTAAAGGAGAACATATAGAAGTGGGCAGGTGGCGCGAGAGTGAATTAATAATTTTTCGTGCATAAAATACAAAAACTTATAAATTTATATGGAAATATTTTTTTTTTTGTTTTTCGACACATGTTACTTTGGAAAAAAATGTTTAATTTGACCGACTTAGTGTACTCTTAAAGATGTTAATGACATTTTATGTTGACTAACTTTTATCCGACCACCAAAGGAGGGTAATGTGTTTGGTAATTATGTAAGTAAGGTTACGTCGAATCTTGACCGCAATTTCGCTAAATCTGAACTATTTTTAAATATTTTTTTTTTCATTTGATTTTAATATTTATAGTAATATCCATATTTTTTTCATTTTTCAATAAAAATTAAATAACTATATTTTTGTTTTTTCGTAAAACCAAATTTATTTGTGTTCCACAAAAAATTCTGATTTCAATTGTAGCAAAATTAGTTATTTTAATTGGAAAACTAAACTACTGAACAGATTTTGGTAAAACTTTTAAAGTACTAATCTGTAAGTAAATCCTTTTTAGGATAAAAAAAGAATTTTTCAAGCTGACAGAGTTATGAGGTTAAACACAAAAACAAAAACGAATTGGAGTCTCCTTCTTTTTTCAAGTCGGTCGAAAATTTTAACTTTAGAAGCAAGAACAAACGAGACTGTTTCACGTGACACAAAGCTGTGTCCACAATGCGTCACACAAGGTCGCCGGTGGCTTGTTTACACACAGATTATCGTAGAATTAACCGCAAACTTAGTTTTCTTGCGTGTGACATCAGCCCTGCATAGTGTTTAAAATTTATAATGTTTTCAATAAAAAAAAAAAATTATATAACTGTTAAGTTTAACTACAAACCATAGGGGGGAAAGGGATTGTTAGTAATGGGCTCTCCTTCCCCACTTCTCATCCTTGTAAACAATATCAAGTCCCTATCAAGTCGACCTCGTGGAGCGTTTGCCCCTGGAAACCATCGTGGTTAAATCATAGTGGATTTTGTCACGATGGGCTAACTGACCTGCTTTCATCGTCACCTATCACCCCTCACTGGTGCCCCGCTAGTGTACCGATAGCGCAGGCGGGTTACCGGTCCATTATAATCCATTAAAAAAAACTACAAACAATAGTCATTTTATACATATATAAAGATATATATCATAGAAGCACAAGGTTTTCATAATTTTTTTTTATACAACTTAGAATGGCAAACAAGCTGACGGCCCACCTTATGGAAAGTGGTAACCGTCGCCTATACACATGAGTAGTACCATGGACATAACAGAGTATACTGTTTCACCCATGATACCTCCCATGCGTTGCCATTCCTGAGGACTCAGGTGTTATTCCTCTGTACCCTGTAAATTCACGCCATATCCCACCTTTCAAACCGAAACACAGCCATGCAAACACAACTGCTTTACGGTTGAAACACGAATGGGACAAAGGTACCCAAGCAAACGACTTTTGTACAAAGTCTCCCTCTGGTTCATATATTTTTGTGTTGAAGTGTGATTTGATATGACGATTACATCACCAATTCTGAATCGATTTTGATTATTACTTTTGTAAGTCATTATCGATATAATCCCGTGTTATTGTCATATTAATTTTTAATAAAAACTTTTTGACACTTGCTTCTTTTATTATTAAATTTACAATAAAATTCTATTTACTGCGAAGCAAAATCTGCATTAAAAATTCCTGATTCGAAACACAAATATTAAAAGTGTAATGTGTCTACAAAACATATCGTCTGTCATTGGTATGTTTATTACAATTGAAGTCGCCATTTTTTTTTTTATTCAGAACAAAATGTAGATTTCATATTTGACATAATATAAAGATTAAACTTAAAAGACTTTTAAAGATAATATACAATTATTATCTTTGAAATTTAAAATATTACTGTAGTCTATTTATTATATAACTAGTATTGTAGTTTTTATAAATTTTCTTAATAATAATTATATATTATGAATACGCATGTCGTGGCGGCCTTTAATTGAGGCAGCATTTTATAATGTAACCATATTATCATGAATTTTTTAAGTAGATATAAATGTATGCTTTGTTGGTTGTCCTTAAATAAATAAATAAATAAAATTTGATTAATTTTTTTAAATGTTACATGCAACTTACCTGTCAAGCATGAAATACAGGAATAAACCGACAAACACAATAACAAGTATTGAATATATTAAATAATCCAAATGAAATATACACCAAAAACATTTCACATTCCCTTTGGCACATGCGTTTTCACAATTAATAGTCATTTTAAATAATCACTTGAATTACCGCTTCATTAAATTTTTGAACTAAATTATTTTCACCATTTGTTAATAAAAAAATATATTATATTATTACTTATTAATAAGTATATATTGGAGAATATTATAAAATAAAAGTAATTATTTAAATAAAAACTATTTATAATAGAAACACGATTAAAATAAGAATAAAAACAAAAAAATATTAACTGAATTACATAAATGAACAATGGACAGTTAATGGTTGATATAATTATGAAATTAATTAAAAAAAAAATCTTTTTTATGTCAAATTTTGAGTCTGATATAACATTAAACATGTATTATTAAGTGCACTGTAATGTAAGTGGAAAACAAACGAATTACTGGCAAGTAACAAATCCAATCAATGGCAAATTAACACAAAATAATGGACAGCCACATTTTGCTGGTAACCAGTGAATTGTTGAAGACATTTCTGATTAAAGTACAAATCTTTTATGAGTTTTCGACACGGATCGAAACTGTCTGCTAATTATAATTATGGTAGTCACTATAGGTTTGCTAAACATAGCAATTTGTTGCTAAATTGTTTTTTTTTAGTACGTAAACTAATAAATTGTATTAAAAGTACTTTTAAACCAAAAGTCATTTATATTTCTTTTGTTAGAATTACTTTCCTATTTTCTTTACTTTGGCGAGTAAGTAAAATCAGTTATATCCCTTATTTATAATCCGTTAGTTTTCAATTAAATAAGATTAAATAAATAATTATAGTTATTCTAACTTTGCTAATTTCGAAAGATTTGTTTTTTTTTTATGTTTTACATTGATACTGTAATGACTTTTTATAATAGATATACTAAAATAACTAAAAATTACCTTAACTATTGTTTTAATATATATGGATTTTTTTCAGACATTACAATACAGAAGAAAAGTCTCGAAATGACAATTAAATAAGATTAAATTAATAATTAGAGTTATTCACACTTAAGTAATTTCGAAAGATTTGTTCTTTTTTTTAATTTTTTACATCGAAAATGTAATGTTTTCTTAGAATAGATATACTAAAACTAAAAATAACATAAAATTAATTTTTAATGTATTTTTTCAAATGTATTTTTTAAAATACAGAAAAAAAGTCTCGAAATGACGAACAATTTATTTAAATAATTATATTTAAAAAATCTCAACTCATTTTGATTTAATTATCTGCTACTTAAAATTTTATTAATTAAACAACAATTATTTCTATTTTTTCTGAAAGGAAAGAGTATATAAAAGAAAACTACATAATGCCTATATATGTAGATATATGATGAACTCGAGCCTTTAACTAGCAACAATGATGCAACGGTCGCGAGCCGAGCACTATTACTAACTAGTTTTCAAATTTACAGACAAATTACACTAATTATGATCAGCATACTGATTGGAAACGATACCCACGTGATTTCTTGTTAACATCAACGCTTAATTATTAGTAATTACATTTAGATTTCTATCTATCTATCCTATTTAAGAGCTGCGCTCTCATTCAGGTGTTATTCCTCTGTACCCTGTAAATTCACTACCATATCCCATCCTTCGAACCGAAACACAGCCATGCAAAAATAACTACTTCTCGGTTGAAACACGAATGAGACAGAGATACCCAAGCAATCGACTTTTGTAAAAAGGGTACAGAGGCATAACACCCGAGTCCTCAGGAATGGCAACGCATGGGGGGTATCATGGGCGAAACAGTATACTCTGCTATGTCCATGGTACTGCTCATGTCTATAGGCGACGGTTACCACTTACCATCAGGTGGGCCGTCAGCTTGTTTGTCATTCTAAATTGTATAAAAAAAAACATATAGCGGCTGAATTTTAAATTACTAGCATTCTTTAAAAAACAATATATTCTACTGAATAAACTAACCATTTTCTAAAAAAAAAAACAAATCAAAACGTATGAAAAAAATTAATTATACATCATCATCAGCATTTTAGCCATTGCCCGTCCACTGTTAGACATAGACTTCCCCCATAGACTGCCATTAAAAAAAATAACTAATAAATTTACGAAAATTATAAGTTTACAATGAAGACATTTGTTTTACTAGTGTGAAATGAATTAATTATTGATTTAATCAGTGAATAATAGTCGAGTAACGAAAATCTTAACTGAGGGCCTACCATGAAATATTTTCCGAAATTTCAGGCACGAACGAAATAGAAATTTTATGTTAAAATTACATAATACATGCCGTTTGAAATTATTAAAAATATTAAAATATCGTTCCTCTGGACTATTAGGATAGGATTTATGATGAATGAAACGTTAAACTCCATTTACTGGGTCGATTTAGGTACGAACAAAAACACGAAATTGAGCCCGAAAATTCGGAATTTCATTTCATGGTAGGCCCCCTGATTATAAATGAAAATTACTAATTTACTAATATAAAATACGTAGTGTTAACATCAACACAATAAATTTTACACTAGTTTTTTTTTTTTTTTTTATTTAACCGGATATTAATAGTCAAGTAAGTAAAATACTAAACTTATGACGAATCAAAGGTGTTTTTTTTTATTAAACATATAATTATTTTGAATGAATTAGTTTACAATTTAACCAGAGACTCTCAATTAGAAGAGATACTCAAAAGAATGATATAATAAACATCTAATGATACGAAATTAATAATATATACGATATTAAAATTGTTAGTTACTGTTGTTAGTAAAAAAATTAACTCGTTTTTTAACCGGAGAATAATATACTAAGATGTGAACTGCGTCATCGCACTGTGTTGCCGCGAGTCGTTTGCGAGCGTCAGTGACGCGTGGATATGTAAGTACAACTAAAGTACAACTTAATTATAATAAGTACGGTTCTTTAGTAAACACAAAAACCAATAATGACTACACTAATTAAAGCGGATTAGGTCATTTATATTATTTTTGTTATTTATTGCTCCATATCGTTAGCGTGATGTTAAATACGTAAAATGCAAAATATTTGGTATTCAGTGTAAACTCTATGTCATTACCATCATCATGTCAGCCCCTTGGGGGGTTTTGCTAGTAGTTGCTATGGTTGGCAGGCAGATTGGCAACCGCAGTCAGGCTTTAGAGATGTTTAAGAGGGACGCTGCTGGCTATCACTCACTCTCCCTTAGTTGGCTGTAATGACACTCGCGGGATAGGAAGGAGTGGCCTATTCTATGCCAGGATCACACGGCGAATATTCTATGTAAAAGACATCATGTAAAGAAAGCCTTTAAACTTTTTATGCCACTAAGAATGGCGAAAAAGCTGACGGCCCACCTAATGGATAGTGGTAACCGCCGTTTAAAAAATGAACAGTATCATGGACATAACACTGTGTCGCCCGTGACACCCCTCATGTGTTTCTATTTCTGAGGACTAAGGTGTTATGTTTCTGTAACCAGTAATTTCATTGACATACTCCCATCAAACTGCCCTTGAAACTAACACATAGCCATGCAGTACAACTCTTTCAAGCCAGAAACAAAAAATAAAAATAAAAATAAAAGGGGATATTTTAAAAAGATACTGAAAAATAATTTTGTATGGAACACTAGCGCTGTTTATTACTCATAGCGGCCATTGATAATTATTTTATTATTTCCTTGTAAATACTACTGTTTTAATTGAATATTTATAATTAATAAATTTTGGTGTATTAAAACCGTGCGGTGCCGGTATAGAATGGACATGGGCACGAAAGAAGTCGTGCTTCTTTCCCCGTGTGTGTAGTAATAGGGGACTAAAGGATGTCAATGCTCGAAACATGAGCAGCAGCGTCCTTCTTAAAACATCACCAAAGCCAAACTATGGTTACCAATCTAATTTCCAAGTAAGGCAACTACAGGCAAAACTTCCTTTATGGGGAAGGCTTATGTTCAGCAGTGGACAGTTAACGGGTGATACCACATACGTTAGTTATTTATAGCTTGAGAAGATATAGAAAGCTTAAGCTCTCTTAATCGCTTCTTACGACATCCACGGGAAAGGGAGAGGTGATTCGTTCTATGCTGGAACCTACAAAGCTAAACTAACGTTTAATATAATTGTATGTTTTTTGTTGTAATGCATAATTTACAAATATGTGCATTCTGTGTTTATTTTATGATTATAATTAATAAGTTACATCATGTAATGTAAGTTTTTATGTTGTGTAGAATTATAGATACTTGTATCTCTATTTTAAATGTTTCAAGGAGTGTATAATACTCGCCAAACGATTTATGGCTGATTGTAAACTCTAGGCTTACGTACACCGGAATTTATTATATTTGTAATCACTTATGATAAATAAAGAATTTTTGAAAACAAACAAACAAACAATATAAATGTATTTAATAAATAAAATGCCTTTCTTGTCTTTTAATAGAACAAACAAGTACTGTCATGATCGACTTAACATCTACCCGAGCGTTTGTACAAAGCTCCATCTACCATTCAACAATGTAATTACATTATTTACCATCAGAGTTCACTCGATTTAAACCAATAGTATTATAAAGTACTTAGTATTATAAATGTTTAAGTTTGTTTGTTAGTACTTAGCACCTAAACAGTTTTACAATTACTATGAAACTTGGTATGAACATTCCATATGGGATGGAGAAAGATAAAGGCTTTTTATTCAGGTCACTGTTTACATATTTCTATGACATATTTCTCTCATGACGAAGTTGTGGGCGAAAAATAGTATGTAATTAATTATACACATTTTTGTATATTGCATAATTTTAACGCTTTTTGTTTACGAAATAACCAGAGTTTAAAGTTAAAATTTAGAACCATGTATGGGGTGTCAAATGCGACATAAACAGGAAAGGAGTAAACCATAGAATTAACGTACTTAAAGGTAAAACACAAAGAAGGAAAGGACTAAAAAAATTTATTACACCCTCGTTGAATAAATATGGAACAAAGGCATGATGATAATGTACGAAGTGTCGAAGGATATGAAAAGTATATATATATATATATATACATTTTGTCATCTTTTCATCAGATATTAGTTAGTTAGTCGCTAATATAACATATTTTTTACATACAAACTGTTTCAATCCAATTCTCAATAGTTCATTCAATAGACATTCATGCCTGCATGTCTTTTTTTTTAATCCTTGGTATTACATCTTGTCTTTTTTTCTTCATTTTCTTTTTTAAGTATAAAGTAAGTCTTAAGTAAATTCAAGAGTTTACTTGAAGTCTGTTAAAATTTTTATTACATAACAACATAAGGCAACAGTATCCTGAACGTACTTGAAAATAAATTAGATAGTCCTCTAGTGAGAATGCTCGCCGAGAGGACTAGATCATTACTAGTGATTAAGTATTAACATTTTTAAGTACACTCACTAACAAAAATGGATCTAAGTTATCTAAAATAAATAAATAAAATGACGTTTAAGTACTGTGAAAAAAGGTTTTGAGGACTGATGAATATGAATATTTCCTGAAAATGGTGATTGTTAACATCTCAATAATACCAGAGGGAGACTTTGTACAAAAGTCGATTGCTTGGGTACCTCTGTCCCATTCGTGTTTCAACCGTGAAGCAGTTATGTTTGCATGGCTGCGTTTCGGTTTGAAGTACAGAGGAATAACACCTGAGTCCTCAGAAATGGCAACGCATGGAGGGTATCATGGGCAAAACAGTATACGAGTACTCTGTTATTTCCATGGTATTGCTCATGTCTAAAGGCGACGGTTACCACTTTCCATCAGGTGGACCGTCAGCTTGTTTGTCATTCTAAGTTGTATAAAAAAAAATGAATTACTTATGAAGCTCTTTATTTATATGTATGCCTATTTATGTTTACCTCTCGCGATATTGTAAATAAGTAAATAATGATTATGTAAGTATTAAGTTAATAAATCATAACATAGAACACGCCTCCTAAGTAATTAAAACAAAGTGCTTTGCGCACGCACACTATTTGTTTATTATTAAATTGGTGACTTGTTCCCGTAACTTATGAATGCGTAACACCATGAAATGTCGTGGCTTTTTTTAATGGATGAAAATGAAATGAGCATAAACTCTATTCCTACAAAATATTCGTCACGATGGACTAACTGATCTGCCTTTTCGGATGAAACCTCTCGCCTCTCACTGATACTCCGACAGTGTATACCGATAGCGCATGCGGTGATAGGTGAGGATTAAAAGGCAAGTCAGTTAGCCCATCGTGACGAATATTTTGCGGAAGTAGGGTTTACGCTCGTGTTTATTCCAAATAATGTGACAAATGTATCTGCTTTTTTCTTTACGCAAATAAAAAAAAACTGAATGAAAACGGAACGGTAACCCTGCCTGCAATATTGGTGTACACTTATGGGGCGCCAATGAGGGTCGATTTGATGAGATCGAAAGCAGATCTGGGCTTCTAGACAAGTGGCAAGCGAATTCGTCGATGGAATCGACATCGCTAGCGAGTTCGTGAGTTGGAACGAGTCATCCGGCGTTGCTATCTCATTCTGTCTCACAGACTCGCTAGCGATATGGATTCCATTGACGAATTCGCTTGTCACTTGTCTAGAGGGCCTATTAGCCTATCGTGACGAATTCATCAAGAATTAACACGATGGTTTCTAAGTGGTGCAGCGTGGTGGTCGACATGACCAATCATTACTAACGATCTCTTCTTCTTTTCTTTGCGGAGGTTGTGACGCAAAATTTGTTTGTAGACATACAGTTAGACCTAATTCAAATTCAAATAAATTTTATTCATTTTAAGAGATAGCCGACCAGTTATCAGTGGTCACTTTTTTTGTCGACCAAAACCTACTTGTTTAGTCTTGGACAGAAATGAGTTTATGACCATTAGTTGGTCAGTATAACACTGTATTACAGTCAAGGTTGCCAGACGAGAATATTGAGTTTTACCCAAACCTGAAATATTTTTTCTCCAAACTGACAAACAATTTTTAGGATTTTTACCCTATCACAAAGTGATATCTTTTTCACTACGTTTTATCATGTGCTACAAAATGAATGACGAAAAAGGTTTATTCTTCTGTTTCTAGCTTCCCCTTTCCTTCTCTTTTCATTACGTATTTTTAATACTTAGATTAGATACCTAGATAGAGCATCGAGTCTTAAAGAGTTATTTTTTGTCAGCTAATTGTCAAGCTAGCCACCTTGCTTTTTTTATTAGTGTTCTATATACTTACACACACATAATGTATTTTGACGTATCTATATTTAATTATTTAAACTTGAGTTTTTACGCATTAAAAAGATGCAAAAATTATAAGACAAACTAAATATAGAAGTTATAAAGGAATCATTTACGCATATAACTTATTTATCACGCAAAATTGTTTGAAAAAGTTGACCCGCTTTTCTCGAAGCGTTTATATGGAGACACTCTATCTATATAAACTAAACTTTAGTCATGCATTTCCCTGTAATTATGTACCTTACCTATATACCTGTACAGAGTTTAGAAGTACCAAAACTATTAAGTACTCATAGTTTAAAAAAATATACACAAATTTCAAGTGCAAAGTGCATTTCAGTTTCCTTCAAAAAATTCCTCTAAAAATTTTATTGCTCCAAAATTTCGGAAACAAATTTTTACCGAAAAATCCGAAAATAATACTCAATCTGGCAACACTGGCTATGATGCTTCCAGCGAAATATATAAACCATTATATAATCTTATCTGTCGATCATAATCTCGATACACACATGTATTAGAATACTAATTAAGACCTCGGGACGAACAATGAGCCCTATTCAGATGAGAACTGTTTACGGGTGATGAACATACGTACATAATGTACCTATAGTAATAAACAATATTCTCGTTGTAAATAACAAATAACCTTAGATTATATAGATAGA